TTTAAGAACCCCCCCCCCCCCCCCTCTACAGCACGACGCGTCAACTTCATATAAACACTTTATTCCCCCTGTGGATCAGTCGGTCCATCTCGAGAGGAGGAATCCGGATTTGATTGATTGTTGTTCGAGCTGGCTGAAGGTATGGATTTATTTTTATTTTTTATTTATGTGGAATAAACCTGGAGACTTTTTCTTTATGTTGAAGCTGTTTATGCTGGATGGTGTTTTCTTCCCACCTGGCTGATGCATCTCTGCACTAACAACTGCACTAAGTTTGGTGATGGGCTTTTTTGTTTTTGTTGTTGCTTTTATAGTTTGGATTTGTTAGATGGAATTGCGTCTTATACATTTATATAACATGTCTGTAAAGTCCAGTAAGGTTTTTTTTTTTTTTTTAGGAATCATTTTCCTGGTGGTACCTGTATAATTAGTCTGTTATAGTGATCTCGGGATAGTTTTACAAGTACTGTTGCTGTGCTATTTACATCCCTCTAAATATACTGCAGGCCAGGACCTTGCCGCCAGCTTTATGTGACATCAGCCTTTCATATTTGCCGTTCAGATCAGTTACAGGCTATAACAGAACGATTTGTGTTTTAGTGACAAGGAGTAGTAAATGTAAAGAGGAATGATTCATTGGCTTTCACTCAGATTTTACCTTTCTGAGAGGTGGAAGAAACTGGAAAACTTTGATTTGAGGAAGATAGGATTTGAGGAAAGAGAGTATTTCTGCTTTTTTCTTATGTCTATAAATGAAAGTGTGCAGTACATGAAGCACATGCTGTTAAATGTCCTTGGCTGGCAGGGTGTGGTGAGAGGATGGTCTTTCAGAGCTGTGCAGTGATCCACTGGCCTCTTTTGTTCTTTTGTTAGTTTGGGCTTCAAAGACACAAAGTTAATACAAACTCTATTCAAATCTATAGATGATGCATCAGAGCTTCTGGGGGCCTTTCTTGTGGTATCCACCATTCACATGAGAGTTCAATGTGTCTGGAAAGTTATTTGGTTTTTCTTTTTAAAGGCAGTATAGGTGAGAGGTTAATGGGATGTCTGATCTATGTTGGGCCTACTGCGGAATTTCTGTCTCAAGAGCTTTAGAAGCAGGTTGTTCAAGTATCTCCTGAAATATTAGAATGGGCTTTTAAAAATAAGATCCCAAGACTAATGTGATGACATTTTTCTGTCCTCAGCAGGATGAAATTTCAAATTGATGCAGTAAACATCAGACACAAGCGGCTTAAAAGTCATTCCCCGCATAACTTAGGAAATTTTTTCCCAATTAAATGTTTTCTGAAATGCCATCTAACCACAGTTTCAAGTCAAAAAATAAACTGGCCTTTAACACAGTTGGCACAGTATATGCATGACTGTGGTAAACATTTTATCATCTTACCAGATAAGATGGGATGGACGAGTTAACAAGACAGATGGACTTCCTCTCAGGAGACTTGTCAGAAGAAAAGGGTGAGATTTCTGAACTTATTTATGACATTTTCAAACGAAGCCACCATAGAAACACAAGTTACAAACACCAAAAAAACCAAACACTGTTGATGTAAGTGGAGGAGACACGCTGGAGACTAACTGGCTCTCATTTATGGTGCTCAAAGCAGCAGAAAAATACATTTGAAAATCTCAGCAGAAATGTGTCTTTTCCAAAAGCAATGTCCAATTTCCACAGATTATTCCAAAGTTATATAAAATATTATCTGAAAGCTTAAAGGAAGATTGGCTTATAGCGTAAATCTGTGTTTAAAGAACCACAAAACACTTATGCACTTATTTTCCTGGGTGATGCTTGTGTCTCTTTTTGAGGGGGCTTCCCATCACTAACATCATGGCATGCCTTCCCTGGTCTCAGGTTTCCATTTCTGCTCCTCACTCTCAGGGCTCAGGGTGTAAGTCATCCTCCGGGGTTTCCTCCACTAAGTCATGACTGTAAAAGGACAGCTCATCTTGGCCTAACGACTTTTGAGACGAGGTCAAGGAACGCTTGATTATACGTTGGACTCTAGCTGAAAACAAACATATACTCAGCTGTTCTGTTGTCCCCTTGTTCTCCTTCTTGTTTTATATGTCACCATAGTAAACCTTCTGTATATATCACTTTTCACAACAGTGGTTTACAAAGTGCTTTACAGAAGAGAGAAAAGAAAGTGAGAGAAAAAAAGAAGAGATAGACAAGATAACGTGGTTTGGACGCAATATACAAAGTTCAGAAAAAGACCATAAAAAATCCAAAACAAGTGTGTTTTAAGTTGCTTTTTATGCACCAATTTGGATTGTCTGAGACTTTTTCGGAAGCTGTTTCAAAGACGAGGAGCAACGGAAGCAAAAGCATGATCACCTCTGGTTTTTAGTCGTCATCCTGGAAGAGATAGAAATCCCTAAAAGGAAGGAGGAGGATGAGGAGCAGGACAGGAGCGAGGAGGCAGCATGAAACTGAAATGGAATTTACATTATGCATAACTGAATCCAATAAAACTCAACCAGGCTGGACAACAAAATGCCTCCTAGTGGAAGAAGGCTGTCATTAGTAGTATTTATCTTCTCCCAGTTCATTATAAACATGACGTGATTTACATAAACTATATTCCCGCACGTTGTTTAACTGCCTCTAGAAGGACAGAGTGAGGGATTTAAGTGAGAAAATGACACATAAACATAAATAAGAGTAAAAGAGGCTGTAGGTTCATTAGTGATTTTGGAAACAGCAGTAAAAAAACGAGGTCCACTTACTGGACCTTGTTTTCCAGAGCTTTTATAGAGATGGCTGTTATTTCGTACTTTATGTCTCATGATAACAGCTAAACCATCTCCATGACAACTGAGCAAACTCTATACGTAAATGAAAGCCATAATATCTGACTGAAAGCTCCAGTAAATATGTCTCATGCTAAGGCGTTTTTGTCAAAGGAGGAAAAGGAGAGCAGTTTTCTTTGTTAAAATCAAAGTAATGTGAATATTTCCAGCCGCTGAATGTAAGCGTTTCCATAGTTTCCTCCATGATTATAAAAATGAATCCAAGGATGTGATTGGATATCAGATTAGTAGGGTGGTGCCAACAAAAGTGAGGTTGTAACTAATTGTTTTTTTTGTGGAGGTAACTGTAATATTATTGCTGACATTAATTACTAGTTACTGGGGAAAGTAATTGTATTACTGTAATACCATTACTAGTAATGAGCTGCTGCCCAACACTGCTTAAGGGTTCATATAATTATAATAATCCTCAATAATGGATTATTATCTTGTTCTCCAGCCTGGTGAGTTTTATTGGTTGTGTAAATGTTTGATGATTGAATGATTGTGGAGGCTCCTTCTGATGAACTAAAAATACAAAGCCACTGTCCGAGGAGGAGGATAAACCCCGACCTGGCAACCCAAATGTTGTTCTTAATAAGGCTTATAACTGATACATATAGCATTGTAAAATTGTGTTATCTGTTAATAAAGCCATTAGTTATTGCTTATAAACCCTGTATTAGAAAGTGGGACTTAACTCCACTGTCCATCAAAGTCACATTAATTCAACAGTGGAAGCATGAAAATCATCACCATACCAGTCACTCAACACTTCAGTCAACAGCTGCCAACTGGGATTAACATATAGAAGTTTGAATAACATTGTTGTAGCTGTAGATACCTCCCAGCAACTGCTCAGTATACGCAGAGTAATAACTTTACTTCTATTTCATGTGCCCTCAGTTGTGACAGAAACTGTATCCTCCACAACCAGACTGACTTCTCTACCACCAAGTGAGTGTCTCTTTCCTCTGCTTTAATTATCAGCAGCAAACTAAATGCATAATACAGTAATTATAGCCGAGCAGTTCTAAAGGAAGTACCCGATGAGTAACAGCGTCTCCTTGTTTTGCTGTGTGTCTTCTCGTTGCTAGAGGGAACCAGCGGATCAAATCACAGGAATATGTCCAGCGGTGCTGGAGGGCTGGGCTTGGAGAAGAATGTCTTAACCCAGAACAGCAGTGGAACTTATTTCTCCTCATGTGAGAGCAAATTTCCACTCATGGCCCAAAATTGGGAAGTTGTGGTTTTGTGTTAGGATAAGTTCTGAGATGCTGGATGTTATATTTTTAACCCCCAGTAGGAGGAAACTAACACTAACTTCGATTTCTGGGTTTCGTGTGTCATTTCACATCACTTGCAGTTTTTAAGAACTTGATATTTAATACTCCATTACAAATTGAAAATGTAACTAAAGTAAAATATAAAAAATATACTTTATGTACAATACAGAAAAACACTATTATATGTATATATTGTTATTACTGATGTATTCATGTGTAAGTAGCATTTTACTGTCGTAAATAATAAGTTGGTTTGGTAACACTTTATTTTACAGGCTGCATAGTCAGAGGTGAAAGTACATTTGCTCAAGTACTGTACTTAAGTACACATTTGAGGCAGTTATTTATGGTTTCATGCACCTTTATACTTATGTAGGGACATTTTTACTCCACTACAGTTGTTTGACAGATATTGCTACTGGTTACTTTACAAATTCAGAATTTTATATACAAAAGTTATGGATTATCTAATAGAATTATCATAGAAAATATGGTGCTCTGATATAGATTAAACTACCCAACAGTATACCTGTATGCAATTAGATTCATTAGTTGATTAATCAAATTAGTCCACTGACTAATTTACGATAATTGGTTCTGTAAAAACAAAACAAACAGTGTGAAGGTCTCCCTGTGAACTCTGGGTAATTGGCTAATTAAAGGCTATTTCCTGAAGGTTTACAAAACCCAACAATCTGGCAGTTAATCAATAAAATAATAGTAATAGAGTGTTTTTACAGTGTTGTATTGCTACTTGTATTAAGTAAAGGACCTGAGTACTTCCTCCCCCACTGCCCATAGCTTCCTGTCATTTTCAAGAAAGGAACTGATATTTAACTGTAAATTCATCTGAAGGTTCCTGGGAGGAGCTGTATAATTTGGCACTAATTATAAGGAAAGTTGTGTTCAAATAAACTTGATAATCTCAGAGTCAGTGCACAGCAGGTCAGCTGAATAAATGTTACACTGATCTGCAGGTTAGCATAAAGTTCAACATATATGGAGAGTAAAGCTTACAATAATAATCAACATTTAAATGGGTTTAAAGGTTGAACATTTAGGAGGATCTGTTGACAGAAATGGAATTTAATATTCACAAGTGTGTTTTAATTAGTGTATAAACACCTGAAAATAGCAATCATTGTGTTTTTGTTACCTTAGAATGAGCCACGGGTCGCCTTTCATGGCGCCCGGCATATTGAACTGCCATGTTTCTACAGTAGCCCAGGAGGGACAAAGCAAACACTGGCTCCAGATAGGGCCGTTTGTGTTTTTCGCTCATTTCGTGTCCACTTTGTGCTTGGAAGAGGAGGGTTAAGTAACAGAGACAGACAGCATTAAATACTACACACTGGTCCTTTAAACGGATAATAGGGATGTCCCGATCTCATTTATTAACTGATCGGTATGTTGAGCTTTATTGATCCGATCCGATCTTTTCCTTTTTTAGCTGTCACACAGCTGTTTTTACTCGTGCGCGGTGAAACTCCCTCCAGACAGCAACAAGACCAACAAGATCTTGTTATTTTTCTACTTTATTGTGTTATAATAATTAAAAAATTAAAAACATTAAGGAACAGCTTCGATGCAGGCATTTTGTTTCTTAATTCAAGAGCAGAGCTATTCAGTTGTCAAACACTGGATTGATTTTAGTAACTGTATATATATATACTTGAAGTGTGAATTGTGCACCTGTATTATCTAAAAATACTCAATATTAAATGACTTGAATCAGATTGGGGGTTAAAAAGGACATCACTAAATATTATATTACATTGCTGGCAATAGAGCCTCCTAAATTTTACACACTTTATCTACTTTGTATATTCATCATTCTGCCATCATATGTTTGTTACCATCTTGGTAAAGTAACCACAGCTGTCAGATGAATGTAGTGCAGTGAAACATACAATATTTGGATTAGAAGTATAAAGTAACATGAAATCTAAATACACATATAAAAAACAAGTAAGTGAGTAAGTGACTCGGGGATATTCCTGTTTATTTATTCACACTGCAGAGAGGATACAGTTGCAGGAAATCAAAAATAACTTGCATGTATCATCCCCCCCTCTCCCCTCCAGCCTCTGTAGGTGTGAACACCAGCAGCTACAGCTCCTCCTCAGGAGTTTACCTCGGAGGAGACTCCTCGGGAGGAGGCGATGGAGGGGGGTGCTACATAGACGGTGAGGGGTACGGAAGTGGAAGCGGCGGAGGAGGCGGCGGTGGAGGAGGAGGTGGAGGCGGAGGAGGAGGTGGCAGAGGTGGCAGCAGCTATCTTGTGAGCTCGGTGTCAAAGGTCAGGTCCAGCTCCTCGGGTGGTGCACGGAGAGCGCAGACTGCTGGCTCATCAGGAGGCCTGTCGCCAGGTTTCCGCGAGAGGAAGATCATATCCAGCCGCTCAGGAGGTTATGATGGTGAGATCCTGTTAATAAAAACAGCTCAGTTGGCATCAGGGGGTTGCCTGAAACAGAAGCTTAAAAAGAGAAAGGAAACCGTTATGCGCGAGGGTGCTGTTAACATTTCTGCTGCTATTGTGTTTTCTTCTAGGAAGTTCCAGTGCTAATTCCTCTCCAGAATTTACACGCAAAGATTATGGAGTCTATTGTATGTGAGAATGGCTGCATGAGATTGTATACTTTCTATATACCTACTTATGTTTTTCCAGCCTTATCCTCATCATGTCTCTGTGTGTGTTTATGTTTTTCTGTTTGTTTGTTCCTTTCAGGCTCCAGCGCCACAAGAGGGAGGAGCGAAAGCAGAGGTATTCAGTAATAGTTTATTTCCACTCCCTTCTCCCTTCATTATTTCTACACCATCTGACTTTGAATTGTGCCGGTTTTCTTTTTTATTAAATCAGGATTCCTTTGTCCATTGTGTGATTTTTTCCAGAGAGCGAGATCAGAGCCAGATTACAAAGTGCCTCTCCCACCGCCTGCAGATGTAAGACCACTTGAGACACATTGATCCATTTGCTGTCGGTTATGCAATCCCTCATGAAGCAACAAAGCATCTTTATTCGAGCATGCTCAACCATTCTGATAGTGAACAAGTTTTTACTGCCGGGTCACTTTAGAGCAGCATGTTTTTTGAATTATGTTACTGTCAAATGCTTTGGCTCAGTATTTTACGCAAAGGACATTCCTACTCTTTCACCTCTCACATGTGTTTACGTCCAGGAAATTTAAATTAGTAACACATGTGCAGGTCCCCCCACACAGTATATACGGTGCACATCTGCACAAAAGAAAAGGGTGCGCCCGAAACGAGGAGAATCATGGGTTTGTTTGCATTGTGTTCATGTGGGGAAGAAGTTAAAGGGGGGCAGATTTGTGGTGGCAACAATGGCACACATGAGTCACTGTTTGCAGCACATCCCGTTTGAGGCAAAACAGTGCAGAGTCACAATGCTCCCTCTGCTGATTAAAGTGTATAACTGCGATCATTTCAATTTTGATAAAACATTTTTGCCACCTTAACCCTAACACCTTTAACTGTAGTGTAATTTTGATGTAGGCTTGCTTGTGCTTTCCATGTTGTACAACTTTAAGCCTCAGGTTTACTACTACTACTTTGAAGATTTTGTATTTTCCCCTAGCTGTTATCTGTAATTGAAAAATATCCATTTAGATCAACTGACTTTTGGTAATTCAGTTTGTAAATCTACATAATTAAATAATTAGGAATTAAGGAAGTAACTAAATCCAATCATGGTGGAGAAACCCCCAGCTAAACTCTAGCAGATCTCAGTTCTTAAGCTACATATATATTACATACATACATACATACATACATACATACATAGATACATACATACATATATATTTAATGTGTAATAAATTGTTGATTGGTTTCTATCAGACCGACACCTAGCACACCAGAGATTTAATTCCTTTATTCCTAAATAATCAAAATTAAGTTTATTTTCTTAAACAATCAAGTTAAAATGGACAAGAAAGCTGAAAGAACACATTATGGCATTATATATGGCATATATTTGGTGAGCATTGTTTGTGGTTTTACAGGGACGGAGCTGGATGACGTGAAGAAGCTGCTGAAGGGACGCTCTTGCAGCGTCAGCCCCACTCGCTCCTCCAGTGCTTCCATAACCCTGCCAGTTCCTAAAAAGGCCAGTGTGGAAACCAAGACCATCTCTGTGGCCTCTCAGTCAGGTGATATACCCTCACCAGAGTCACGCATACTGTGCATGCATAGACAACCTTCCTAAAGATATATGGTATAAATGGCCTCAGTTTGTACGTCTCATGCACTAAATTATTATGGACAACAGACAAAGAAAATATCAACATTATTACCGTTAAACTTCAAATAATAACCCAGGCTTTTATTTGCTTCAGTCAATTAACTCAACCTGCCTTTTATTGGCTTTAAGATGGGAAATCATTTGTGTAAGCGATCTAAGCAGCTTAGAACTCGCTCAAGCAGGCGAGCGATGTGCTTTAAAGAGGTTTTATACATCCAAAGAATTTCTATAAAATCCAGACCAGGCCTCTAATTGAGAACATGTTACCACCCCAGGCTAGTAAAGGATACCTGTGTTTAATTGGGACGCTGCTTTTAATTAAAGTGTAAAATAATAATAAAAAAATTACATCAATACACATTAATACACACATTTTTTAATTTTATTTTGAGCAACAAGATCTGTCACGTGTTTGTTACCATTGTTGTTTGCATTCTGAATTATTAAACTTAATTAGGTTTAATTTACAGACACTTTACGCTCTCTTGATTTTTGTCTTTGTGTCCTTTCTCTCCTGCAGTTCAGACTTCATTTGGCTCTGGTGTGCGATCAGGTGCCTTCCACACCATTGATACACTGGGCCTGTATGATAACGGTCTGACATCTGGGCAGTTTGACACTGGTGTAAAATCAAGCCAGTATGATGTCACTCTGAAATCAGGCCAATATGATACTGGTGTGAAATCGGGCGGGTATGATGTTAGTCTGAAGTCAGGACAGTATGATACTGGTGTAAAATCAGGCCAGTATGATACTGGTGTGAAGTCAGGAGGGTATGACATGAGTTTGAAATCAGGGCAATACGATACTGGTGTCAGATTGGGCCATTATGATACTGGTGTGAAGTCAGGACAATATGACATGAGTTTGAAATCAGGGCAGTATGACAGCAGTGTGAGATCAGGCCAGTATGATACTATGAGATCAGGCCAGTATGACACTCTGGACGCTACACTTCCATCTTTCTCTTGGTCCACCTCCACGCTGCCCTCCTCCTCCGCCACCGTGGTCGCTGGCAACACCAGCAGCTACACATACCAGGCCAGCACCAACAACATGCCGGGAGGAGGATCCTCACCAGTTGGCCTCACCTCCCCCTCGTCCCTGTCAGGTGAGACCATACGAATATTGAATATTACCTGTTGCCTGCAGGTGAAACGTTGTCTTGTTTGTAGTGCAGTAAAGAATGTTTTGCCTCTTCTGGTGCTTTGTTAAACTCTGTATATGGACTTTGTCACACATAAATAAATAAACAAGCAAACAAGCCAACTTGTTCTTTAACTAATCTATGACTGACAAAAATGTAAATATATGGTCATGTAAACATCTTAAAGTAATTCATTAAAAATGAATATACTCTAATGATCTCCACAGTTGTGTCCTTAGAGATCCATTTAGACTGATATGTGCCGTTGTTAAGTTATACATCGAACACAATCATTGTTTTGGGCCACTACTCAAAATATCCATCATGCAGATTTTTACAATTCTTATATTGCCCAAACTTGCCTAATAACAAGCAGTTCCAGCTTCTAAAATGTGAGGACTTAATGCTTTCCCCTACTTTTCATCATTATAAATTAAATATCTTTGGATTTTGGACTGTTAGATAAAACAATATGTATATATATATATTTATATATAATGATTAATCTGTGATTATGTTTTGTTCAGTTTCAACATTTTTATCCAGTTTCATGCTTAAATTTGATCTAGAACGCCTTGCTTTTGTTCCATTTACTCTTTCTTGTTTTATACTATCTCTGTCTTTCCCATACGTGTTGTTGTTTTGGTTTTCTTATTTTCTTTTTTATACATTTTCATACAAGTGCATGCTATTTAATGGTTTCATTATTTAATTAAATCAAACCATGCCTTCATTTTTGTTTACAGTTTACGGCTTTCAGAATAATCTGGCCCCCACTTCGAGCAGTGTGCTCACCACCAGTGGAGCCAACGTAAACGCTAACGTAGGAGGTACCGCAGCCTGGTTCTACAATATCTTGACACTATCAAATACTTTGCACTCATAATAATAATAACGCAAAATATCACCTTTCTTACATGAGCATTTATCTGTGTGTGTTTGTATTCACAGGTTACGGCGTACAGAAGAACCTGTCGAATGGTGGTGGTGTCGTCAGCACTGGAATCTCTACAAGTAAATCCAAATAATTTCCTTTTATTTGATAAAAAGGTGTCACAGTCAAACCAATTCTTAAATGATTCCTGACTGTTTTGTTGTTGTTTTGTTGTTATCAGCCACTAGATCCCAAACTGATGACACATACAAGAAAAGGTTCCTGATCTCAGAAAAGGAGAACGTTTCAGCCAAGAGAGACACGGAGACGCTCATTTTGGCTAAAGACAGCGGGAAGCAGTTCACCAGCAGCAGCAGCGGTCACATAGGAGGAGGTGAGTCAGACATTTACTGCCCCCTTCTGGGCAAATTGTGAATTTTCTCTCACTTTAAAGGGGGTTCTAAATTTTTTCTGGACCCAAGTTTGGATCCCAAACTTCCCATGACCACAGCAAGCTGTAAAGTATATTTATACAGTAAATAGTAAACAGTACATTATAGTACACCATGCAACCCTGATAAAGGCTGTTAATGAAGTACTATCACCTGTCCCAGTATTTATTTTTTCACCTCTTCCTGGGGGACCCTCCACAGGCAGACTAAAATGATTATTAATACTATTATCACAATTTTCTTCGTCCTCTTTTTTTCCCCTGTGTTTAAAAAAGTTTTCCTAACTTTACAGGCTCGTTATCGGGAGATTCGATAAAGAAAGAGAAGCTTATTTCAAGCTACAGTGAGACAATGCCACTGAAGATGGAGACAGGCAACTCTTACTGTGAGTGGTAAAAACACCTCTAAGAAAGGAAAAAATTACTTTCATTATAAAAATAAATGACTGATTTTTATTTATTCTTATATCAGACGGATCATCTGGAGTTGTGATGAAAGACAAAGCCACCTATGCAGGTATTTCTGATAGCGTATATGTTGACATGATGAATAACTTGGTGGTTGACAGCGAGGATTTTAACTCTTTACTCCGTGTTCAGAGATTCACAGGGACAGCGGCATCTTCGGAGGGGGAGGAGGGTTTTGCTGCTGCTCCGACTCCTGTTGCTCCTGGTGGAAATGGCTGCTCGGTCTTCTCCTCCTCTCCCTGCTCCTGCTGGGTCTCCTGTTTGGGCTCATCGCACTGGGTAATGTTGACTTATAAAACATAATGACATTTAATAGGGAAAAATACAAATCTCCCCAAAGACAAAACCCGAGGAGTCATCAGATACTCTCTGCCGCTGCTCTGCAATGAAACACATGGGAGGGACTGTTTTTGAACCAATAAAATGTGTGTTTCAGCTTTTACAGGCTAGTGAGCATTATTTCACAGTGCTGCTAAGAGCTGTGAGACAGTAAATGCAGTCCTTTCCTTGGAAACTTGATCTGTGGGTACTGTCTCACTGCCATAAAGTGGGTCTGGCATTCATTGTCAGTGGAGCAGCTCCAGAAATTGTTGCTTGATGACATCAGAGACTCCAGTTTGTTTTCCTGCAGTTGGAGAGTTGTTGGTGTGGATTTTTCCTGATAAAAATGTGATAAAAAGAACCTGAAATTACATTTTTAACCTCTGATTTGAGGTATATTTTTTACTTGTATGAAAAATCTGTTGAGCAGTTACTGATCCTGTACCGTACATACAGTGAGTTGATTGATGATACACATATTTTGAGATCCAATGTGAGTTAAACTTTCCAGTCATATGTCAATTGCAATTGAACATCCAAAAATCTGCTTAGAAAAAGGAGAAAAAGACATTCTTGTAACTCAAGAACATTCTTAAGTTTTATTCAGTGTCAAACTTATCCAGTGATATTTCTCTGTACATCTAAAGTACATTGCAAATATGGACTGCTAATGGCTAATTTGGCATACTTTTAATGCTGCCAATTTGCCAAAATGTAAACAAATATAGGCTATAAGTTGAAGCCCACAGCGAATTAACTGACTCCATGGAAACATCCTCTTGTTGCACTGTTATCTCAGATTTGTCAGACTTTCAAAACCCCTGCTCTGTATCAAGGTTGTCATACTTTACTTAGTTTCTTTATATAATTAATTTTGGTAGCCAATCCGAATACACCCCTGTCCCATTTGTTTGTATTGTTAAAGTCATTATTTTTCTATTGTCTTTTTATATTCTGCTTGGAAATTCAGTTGATTGAAAAGTTAGAAATAGAGCTGCATTTATCTCATTTAAATCAAGTAACTTTCCTACTGAGCATTTATTTTGTGAATAATAGAAGAATCAAATTTCATGCTGAAATGAAACATAAAGTGCTTTACCTAAAAGTGAATGATGAACAATATTCATGACATATGAAATAAGGATTAAAGCGGTGAAACAAGACAGAGATACGTGTCAAACCCTAGAACGTGGCTGCAACAGATACATTCGTAACCTGTGTAAAACACTATATTTCTGTATTACTGTACTATATTTTATTTATCTTATCATGTGCATCTTACTTTCTCAGCTGAGGATGTGAGAAAGCTGAAGAATCGAGTGGCTACCCTGGAGGCCGAGTCCTCGGTCGCCAATGCTCATACCAGTCGGCTGTCAGGTTCTTCCAATGACATCACCTATTTGGGCAGTGGAGGTACCGGCCACACCGACAACACGCTACATGTGGCCGCTGGAGGAGGAGGGGGAGGAGGCACAAGCTCCAAAACACGAATCGGGATTGCTGCTGGTGCCGGCGGTACCAATGGCAATGGAATTGATCTCGGTACTGCAGGTGGTGCCAGCGGGGCCAGCGGGGCCAGTGGGGCCAGCACCAGCACCAGTTTTAGTGGCAGTGCTGGCGGCTCTGGTACCAGTTTAGGTGGCAGTGCTGGCAGCATTGGTTCCAGTTCCGGTGGCAGTGCTGGTGGCACTGGTACCAGTTTAGGTGGCAGTGCTGGCGGCACTGGTACCAGTTTTAGTGGCAGTGCTGGCGGCACTGGTACCAGTTTTAGTGGCAGTGCTGGCAGCACTGGTTCCAGTTCCAGTGGCAGTGCTGGCAGTACCAGCTTCAGTGGTACTGGCCTCGGGACCGGCGTGAGTGGAGGACACATGGACGCTGCTTATATTCAGACGATGGTTCAGAACATGTTAAGAACTGAGATGCATTCACAAACATTCAGAGGTACAGCACATGCATATATACTGGCTAAATTAACACACACACACACACACACACACACACACACACACTACGTTCATGTTAACTGAATTGTTGTTTTCTGTTTCAGCTTTTGTAGCATCCTCAGCACAGGGGGAGAGAGGACTGCCTGGACCTAGAGGTGAAATTAAAACATATTTCTTTCATAAAATTTCAATGTAGACCCATTTTTAAAGTTAATCAATATGAGTCACGTTTAATTTATGTTAATCTATGTATATTTTTTATTCCTTTCAGGGGACCCTGGAGCTAAAGGTTGGAAAGCAAAATCTTATTATTGCTAGAAATCTTTTTTTTTTTTAGACTTTTCAGTTGTAATTCTGTTGATGTGTTGTATTTCTTTTTCTCTGTACTCTCATCATAATCAAATATACCTTTTACTTTAACAGGAGATGCTGGTTTCCCTGGACTTCCAGGTGAGGAATGATGACTAACATTTTCCTTGAGTCATAACCAGTATTTAACATTTTCTTAGGGCTCTTATGTGGCATCACAATGTCATTTTACTGACCGTGATCCTTTGACCTCAGGTGCTCCGGGTTCGATGGGACATACAGGCCCTGAGGGTCCTAAAGGACAGAAAGGAAGTCAAGGTACAGAGAGAGCTTCAGTTGATGATGTAAGTGCACTGCTCGGCTCATTTAGAGTGAGATGTTTTATCTGTATGTACAATGTCTGATCAGGTGATCACGGACTGGATGGGCAACCCGGTATCAGGGGTCGCGAGGGTCCTGCTGGCCCCAGAGGTGAGCCAGGACATTCAGGCGTTGGACCAAAAGGTGACAAAGGTATGAGGCTCAGAGTAACAGAACTTGTATGTTTTTGAGTGGTACTAATACCTCCTAGCTTGTCTTGATCGTGTCACTACAGGATGTCGTGTGCTTGGTTTATGCAGGTGCTCCTGGAGATCCTGGGGTTCCCGGGCCTGTGGGATCTGCTGGACCAAAAGGTGAGACCAGATTTTTCACATTTAAATAAACAATAAAGAAAATCTAATTGTCTAATGTTTTTACATCAAAATACCACTTGTTTTACTTGGTGACAAAAGGTTTATTACCTCATGGTGTATAAACTGCAAACTGCACCAGGTGGCAGCATAGAGTCAGTTTGCTATTAAAGCCTCCACATTGACCCACACAGGCATTAAGAATAAAAAACCACAAATAATACATATTTCAATGTTATATTGCTTCTACTTGGAAAACATTATATCACATATTTTTAACGTGTAACTTTCTCGCTAAAACGCCTGAAGCTAACTTAAATTACAAAGACACCAGCATTAACTCAGTGCTTCAGTAGAAACAATGCTTCATAAAACTAAGGGGTTAGGGTACCCTCATCTATAAATTACTCTTTAACTTTTTAACTGTTTTCCTAAACGTTACTAAATTATTCTGCTTATGCTTTTGTCCTGACCTTGTATCAGTGGTTCTCAAATGTTTTCTCGCGTTTCCCCTTCAGAATAAAGGTTTTCTAGGGTTTGCGCCCCACCACAACCACAAGTTTTATCAATCATTGCCAATGGGGGTAGCAACTAATAACAATTAACCTTTTTAAACATTTCATTAAACGAGAAAGACACTCTCAAAGTGCTGTTTAATTGTGGCTTTAAAGATAATTAAACAACATGAGTATGAATTTACACATTTTATCTCTCCTGTCTTTCCTGATGCATTAATGTAAATGCTTATTTGGCTTCTCTGTATTAGCTTCACTGAAGAATAAATATTTATTTATATATTTATTTTTCTCTTGTTCTACTGTATGTTCATAATTAGAGTTCTCCCTAAAGCACTTATAACAATTAAAATATGATGAATGTGGGGTTATGAACCCAGCATGGATATGATATAATGGGATTTTTACACTATTGTCTGTGTCAATTCTTAATGTCAATGTTACATTTTTGTTTACTTTACATGCTTTAAGGTGCCCAAAGGCTATTATAATGTTGCTGTTAAGTGATTCTCCTTCCTAATAAATATTCATCTTTGCTCTAGGTGAACATGGAGCTCCTGGGCTTTCTGGGCCACCAGGTCAGTTTCTCCCTGTTCCCATGAAAAACACCCACTGAGTTGAATATTATCTCAAATTTACCTGCAGCAACTGAAAATACTGCTGGTACTGACGTAGATTTAATACCTGGCATTTTCCATGAACTGTTTTGCTATAGGTCAACCAGGTCCTCAGGGTTTCCGTGGCGAGGCAGGGCTACCTGGGTCTAAAGGTAGGTTACGCAAACATTGCTCGGATGCTAAATACAGAGAAATTAATAGTTAATTCATTATATATATATATATATATATATATATATATATATATAATAATATACTACAATATTACTCACAGTCACTCTTTTTACTCTGCAGGTGACAGAGGGCTAGCTGGATTCCAAGGACTTAAAGGTTTGTTGTAACTACATCAGGTTTTTATAGGACTTGTGAGATCAGTGAATATTTCTAACCAATGTTTAAATCATGTTTATTTCAGGTGAAGCTGGGGACAAAGGTCTCAGAGGTCTACCAGGTCAGTACAGCTTTGTGAATTAAACTTTAATTGAAGCTGTCTCTGAGCATAGCATCCAGTGCTAATCCAGTTGTTCCACTCCTCAGGTGATACTGGTTTACCAGGTCTGCCAGGGCCAGCTGGAGAGAAAGGAATCAAAGGGTCAATGGGTGAGTCTGAGGACCACCACCCTCAGATCATTTACTCATTCATAGACACTTACATCATCATATTCTTCTTATAAACTATAACCTAGCCTGATTAATTTGGCTTTCTGACCGAGAGATAGATAAGAGGATCAATACCACGCTCGTATCTGTCCATTAAATATGAAACTACATCCGGCACACGATTAGCTTAGCTTAGCACAAAGACCAGAAACAAGGGGTAAGCAGCTAGCTCGGCTCTGTCTTCTGATAAACAAATCTAGTTTGTTTAATCTGTACAAAAACTGTTGCGTAAGAACAACGTGGTTTACTTGAGGTTATGATCCAAACCATTTATTGGCTGGGAGCAATTCCTGTGGTCTCTACTGGTCGACTGGAAACTGCTCAAGATGATTAAATTAGAGTGACTTGATTGAAGGTGACAAATGTTTCACCCATCCAAGAAAATTAAATTTTCTGAAATTCTAATTGTAAATGTTTTGTTACATTACAACTGATTTTCATGTGGCAGTAAAAATAAAATGCCACACTCCACCAAAGGGGAGCAGAGAGGAGTAAAGCCCCCCTAGTGTTCATGGAAGGAATAACAAACACTGAAAATAAACCATTACAACAAAAGTTTAATTTTTAGACAGATGTATTGATTGATATTCAATATAATATTTGTTTCTTCTTTGTTTGTATGTTATCAGGGATTGCTGGAGCTGATGGTCAGAAAGGATCAAGAGGTAAATGAGTCATTGTATGAGCATTACAGATTATTTCAATATTATTTAAATATTATTTTAATATGCACAAGGACGTAACATTTGAGATCACGCAACTCAAGAATGTATGAGGGTTCAATCTAAAAACAAGCCTTTTCTTCCTCTTCCTCACAATGTTTTCAGCCCAACTCATAAGTTATATTTTTATTTTTGGCCCTCAGGTGACCACGGACCTGCTGGGCCTCCTGGCCTCAGAGGTCCTTCTGGGCCTCCTGGAGATGCTGGACTTCCAGGTAAACTTAGTCACTGTTATGAAACTTGATCTTCAGCTATGTTAACATTATCATCAGTGGATAATTTAAGATTATTAATAATATCTCCCCCTCTGTAGGAACACCTGGGCTTCAAGGACCACCAGGTACAACTCTACTATTCATACACTAGTAGTTTTATAAGTAATTCTACATCTTGATGTAAATTCTTTTCATTTATTCCTCTAAACACTAAACTGTACTTTCGTCATACTTTTAGGGATACCAGGGAATCCAGGACGACCTGGTGCCAAAGGTGAAACAGGAGCAGCAGGAAGAATCATCAATGCAGGTAAGTGTACCACGACTGGTACGCAGGCTCCCTCTTGTGGTACACAGAGGAACCTCCGAAATTATTATTCCTTTTAGAAATAAACAAATTAAAAAATTCATAATACTATCAAATTATTACAACATTTCAAGTGAAAATACTATGGGAAGTTTTTTCATTTCCTGTTATATTTAATTTCAGTATCAGCCTGCTAGGTAGTCACGTTCATGCGTGTGTAGCGCGCATACATCCAAGATTAGTTACAAGCCAAAATGTGATGGCAAGATAGTAAGTGAAGGTAAAATGAATGGTTCAAAAACACTGCAATCATGGCTTCCATCAAATTAGCTCAGTCAATGTTATTATCTTATTATTAGGAATAAACCTGACTCCTGCGCAAACTGTTAATAGATACCTGTCTACATTGTATTTTAACATCGGTCGTAATAGTAGCTCATATTTTCTGAGCTAGTACGCTGTGTAAAACGTTTGAGAAACACTGGATTAGATTATACAGTAGTTTCAGGATATCTGATCTTCAATTTTATTTTGCAGCTGGCGCATCTTCTGTTGGCATCCCAGGACCACCTGGACCTGCTGGTCCTCCCGGCCCTGCAGGACCTCCAGGATTATCAGGTCTGACCCTTAATAGCTCAGCCAGATGATGGAATCTTATGTCTGAATAATTGTGCCATATCAGTAGTTACAATACTTGTCACTGTTGCACTGGCATGTTGTACTAATATGTGTTACTTATAACCTTATCAGGTCCCATTGGCCCTGCTGGTCTGCCTGGCCAACCTGGTAGGTCTTTGTGCTTTTTTTGCTCCTAAAGGAAGCTTTTTAGATTGGATATATCTCCCACAGAGTCTCATAGACACTGTATTGTGTTTGTCTGTACAGGTCCTAAAGGTGACAGGGGATATAAGGGAGATCAGGGAGAACAAGGAATAATAGTGAAAACGTCTGAAAGCACAACCAGAGGTGAGAGCGAATACTTATTTCATATTCCATCGGTTTTCTATCATACATTCATTATTTGCCGTATCTGTGGTGTAACATTATCTGCAGAATATACTAGACTATGTATCTTTTGAGAGAAAGTAATTGGGAATTAAAAGTTGAATGCTAGCAAACAATTAAAACTGACATTACAAAGTCAGCTTCTCTGCTTACGCTACTGTTACTCTTTGCGTCTAGCATTGTGCTGTAATGTCCACTTGTGACCACAGTGGCCGCTGTTCAGTAATTTACTTCTACACACAGGAAAAGTGTTCATCACTTAAAATTGTGTATTTTTGTTTCTGCTTTAGGGGAGTTCAGTTCTGCACAACCTGGCCCACCCGGCCCACCGGGTCCTCCTGGACGTCCAGGTAAATAAGACACAAGATGATCTGTCGCAGCATCATCAAGGACATCATCTTATGATTTAAAAGAATTTGTTAAGAATAACCACAGTATAATATCAGTATCTACTTGTGATATTCTTCAAATTACGTCACTGATTGTTTGGAAAATGTTTTCATTAGGAGATTCAAGACAAGGACCTCCAGGACCACCTGGACCTCCAGGTCAGCCAGGCAAGTATTTAAGCTCATTTTCTGATGCAAGTGGATCATAAGGTGCGTTTGTTTGTTATGTAAAGCTCAGCCATTCTTCACATCAAAATGTATCATTATCATTTCTGCTTTGTAGGTTATGGAAGACCAGGACCTAAAGGAGATCGGGGAGAACCAGGCTTTGCATCCAGCTCTGGCTCTGGTATGATCCAAAATCCAAACTCATGCTCTGTCTCGATGTGGGTTTGACATGTAGAGCAGAAAAGATTTCAACATTGCTCTCGTTACAGGAACGTTTTACACCGGACCACCAGGACCGCCAGGACCAGCTGGGCCTACCGGGCCTAAAGGATCAACAGGTGATCTCTTACTATATACCCCATTTAAAGAGGCTTGCTCTCTTTTAGTTTTAGTTGTACTTTATTTTAACATCTACATTATTATTTCAGGTTCTCCTGGACCAAGAGGATACCAAGGTAACAGTCTTTCTTTAACGTGTGTGTGTGTTTTTTTTCACTTACAATACAGATCGTTGTGAGCCTTCCCAGCATAAATAATGCTTATGTGTGTCTCAGGTGAACCAGGCCAGCCAGGAAGACCAGGGAGCTCTGAGAGAGGTCAACATCCAAACACAAATCAGACAAAGTCACATTAGAAGGCCTCAAGGGCTGATGATGTGTGGGGAACAGGCTTAATGTATAACTATTTATTTACTATATTTTCCTTACAGTGTCGACTTATTCTGGTGGACACGGGATCCCTGGTCCTCCTGGTCCACCAGGGCCTCCTGGACTTCCAGGACCGCAAGGATTCAAAGGTAGAGCTACTCATACATATGAATCTGTGAATGCCGTCAGTGTTTTATTGTCTGAGTGAGTGCTGTATCTGCCTGTGTGCATCACATGAAGATAATGCTTTTGTTGTTGTTTATCATTTCTAAGGGGACCCTGGAGTTCCAGGTATTTCTGGCCATTCAAGAGGTAGAGCAAATCAAAATTATCATCCTAACTACTCTTTACAATAATACACAAAGTGTTTTATCTCAAGTAGCTTTGAAGTTTGAATCCACATAACCTCTTCAGGGTCTTTACTATCTAATTTTTCATCAGGTGCCATCACGGTCACCGCAGGCCCTCCTGGTCCCCCAGGTCCTCCTGGCCCTCCAGGTCAACCGGGCTCCTTCGGCTCTTCTAGTGAGATGCACCAGTACATCACCAGCTATCTAAGTAAGAGTCTTTCTGAAGAGCTCACAGGCTGTCAGGAGGACAGAGCACAGTATGAACCTGTTTTATTTCTTTCATGCAGGCAGAAGCAGACTGGCAGGAACCCCCGGACCTCCAGGTCCACCTGGACCTCCAGGAATTCCTGGAACCTTCTCAGGCTCTATGGACGACATCGCCACTCGAATCATTGCATACATACAACGTATGCCTGCGCTTTCCTCCATAACTTATATCGATTTATTATAATTACAGTAGAATGGGAGCCACCATTAACTTATGTGCAATTTTAGGTTCGGGCTCAGGCCTCAGCATTGGCGTTCAGGGTCCCCCAGGACCACCTGGTCCTCCTGGACCTGGCTCTGGATCCCTGACAGTCAATGCTCTCATTGCCATGCTTCAGAGTAAGTATTCTAGTTGAGCTACATATATTATCCACAGTGCCCTCTACGTATTTACAGAAGTCCATCTTGCACTTGGATAAACTATGTGTCTCTGCTGTCTAGGAGACGATGTGAGGAGATATTTGTCAGGACCACCAGGTCCACAAGGACCACCAGGACCACCAGGGACATCAGTAGGAGTTTCAGGCAGTTATGGCATAGAGGACGTAGCCAGATATGTCATATCATATATCAAAAATGGTAAGCACAGGTTGCACAAACAGAATACAGTAACCCTGGAAGTGGAAGCAAGACTTAATTAATTAATCAAACTGCTCTTATTGTCATTTTCAGATGGAGGGTTTGCTAGAGGTCCACCTGGGCTACCCGGTCCTCCTGGGCCTCCTGGTATAGGTGGCTCTGGTGTCAGCCACGCTGTGATTGACTATTCTGCACTGATTAGACGTAAATCATTTTATTATCATTTCCCGTTAATCACACTGAAAACCTTCTCGGAGAACAGTGAAAAGTTACGAAAACTCATTATCTTCCTAATATCTTCCTCTACCTAGAACCAGAATTCCAGTTATGGTTTAAGTCTGCCATACCACATGGTCCTCCTGGTCCTGCCGGAACCCAAGGGCCTCCTGGTCCTCAGGGCCCTCAGGGGCCACCAGGTGTCTCCTCGGCCACTGTGTATGGGGCGGGAAGTCGTGGCTACAGCTTGGAGGAGATTCAGCGTTACCTGCAGGGTGAGTGTGGTAGAGGAGATGAAGATTATGCAACAACTAATGCTATAGCTTGGATTCACATAGCAAGTTAATGTAATGTTACCTTACAATAAAGAAAACCATCAATAAATATGAACACTGACACAAATGTATATGACGGAAGGTTTAACTATCCGTCCACAACCTACAACCAATGTTACTACGCTGTGTGTATGTACGGTTTAAAGGGGGATAATGGTTGTGTTCTATTTATATATAATTATATTCCTCATAGCAACCTCAACTAATTACATTATTTAGCATCATAACTGCCTCCCTTAGAGAATATTTACCGAAAACAGGATTAATTATTCATATGTACATAGCTAAACAAATTTGAATTTCTTGTAAACACAAACCAAAGACGCCCGCGTTTGCAGATGCACTTTCAATTAGTTTGCTTTACGTCACCAACGGGAGTAGAAACACTAAACCCTGAAAAACAACTCGTAAATGCTTACATATAAAGTATATGACAGTGTCTGCCTTGATTACTACACACTACACGCTTGTGTTAAGACCATAATAAGTAACAATACTCTGAGTTTCCAGTTCATCATGCTGTATTCACTAAAAGCATTTGGCTATCTTGCCTTCATCAGGATGGTATCTTAGTGATTTCTGGGTTCTGTATAATTCATTGATCTACATTGTGACCAATAAATCACGATATATACTGTAGATACAAAACACTAATCCTTTTCTTCAAAATATCATTACTTATAGTTAGTTATAGAAATACCACAGACCATAAACACAGAATATAACATTACAATCATCTTTTCACAATATTCTTGGCAAATATAGGAAAGAACCTTCTTTCAACCTTTATATACATCTACATTTAAACTTAACACATCCATCCGTAAAATACATTTACAATTGTTCTTAAAGAAACTGTATTATTTGACAACCCCCTTGTGATGTCATGGTGTACTGACACACCCTGGAGTACACTTTAACATCACTGCAGCGAGATGAGAACTTAGACCACTGGAGGTCAGCAAAAACAAGATCTTCAGGGGGAACATCCCTGTATCAAAGCCTGCCCGCTTAATACTGAAAAAAATAGAATGAGTTCAACAACAATATGGTTATTGTGACTGTTGTTTATTTGTCTATTATCCAACCCTGTTAACATAAATGTGGATGCACAGCCTCATCTTGCTTTACAATTACAGTAACAATGAGTTGAATCTTTCTCAGATTCTAGGTTCAGAGGTCTTCCTGGCCCTCCTGGCCCTCCTGGTCCACAGGGTCCACCAGGCAGTTACACTGGAACAGTTTCATACAGCGGAAACTTCCCTCGGGAGAGCATCCGCTCGGAAATTCAGGCGTATCTGACCAGTAAGCTTCAAACATCCCTCACAGACAGATCAATCAGTATGTGAAGTCAAACATAACCCTTTTCACTTCCATAAAACCGAAACCTGAAATGAACTCTTCTTTTTCAGGTGACAGTGTTCGTCATGCCATCATCGGACCTCCAGGGCCTCAAGGACCAAGGGGTCAGAAAGGAGAGCGCGGAGAGCCGGGTTACGTTCAGGGCTACTCGCAGAGCCAGAGCTACTCTCAGGGCAACAGTCGCCACGGCTCCGGGCTGTCAGATGCCAATGTCAGGACGCTCGTTGACACGATGGACTACTCCAACGTTGCCATGAAAGTTACTGATTACATCAAGAGTGAGTCCATTACAGCCGACAAGTAGATCTTACTTACTCATTTGTACTTCTGTTTGGTAGATATACTCTAACTACAGTTCCCATAATGCTTTGGGGGATGTTGCTATAGATTCAGTGAGTTACGATGGCCAACAATGATGAAAGACGTCTGTTTGATATAAAAACTCTCCCCCTAGATCAAGGCCTGCTGCAGGAGTATCTGGTTGAGGGTCCTCGTAGGACGAACGTTAGAGCGATTCAAGGCCCCCCTGGTCCACCTGGCCCTCCCGGACCAGTTGGTCAAAGCCGCGTCATCGGTGCCTACGGCAATGTCACAGCTGACCTCATGGAATTCTTCAGAAGTGAGCATACAGAGTTTTGACTTTCCACATACTGTATCGGGTTAAATCTTACAGCAACGGAAAACTGTCCAGACTTATGTAAGCGTAGTTGGAAAATGTTGCTTCATCGCGACTGAATCTGTGCTTTTGCTCTTGCACAGCCTATGGCACCATCCCCGGCCCTCCAGGAGGCCCCGGACCACAGGGAGACAGAGGGTACCCAGGACCCAAAGGAGACAAGGGTACATTTAAACAGAGCTGATGAAACACGGCATATTTTCCAGAGAAATGTTTTAGTGGAGTGACTGAGACAAGGCAATCTGAGAGTTTCCTATGTTTACAGGTGATCCAGGACCCCAGGGTTTACCGGGGGCATACACTATCCAAATTCCACACAGACTGCAGAAGAGGGATGCAGGTAACCTCGCTCAAATGTTGTCAAAACTACAAAAAAAATGTCTAGTGTTACGCACATGTAACTCATCAATTTGTCATCCCACTACAGGAAATAAAGTGGTCAGTCGTCACAAGAGGCATCGCCGTCAGGCCAACGCTGGCTGAAGGGCTAACATACTACTGGATCACGTCAGATTTCATTTTTACTCGTCTTTTTTTAGGTTCATCTGTAGTCAAAATGCTCTTTATTCTTGCCATTTGTAGAAAAGTCAAGAGGACAAATTTGAGAAAATAAAAGCGGCCAAAAAACGCATCAGTCTCTTTAAAATGGCTTCAGTAGAGTTATGGATTTAACTGCTGGTCAGTGTTTTTCTAACACAGACTTCATTTTTTGACATGTGGGTGTAAAATGTTTACTTCGCTTAGTTAGAAGCTTGCATTCAAACTTTTTCCAGGGGCAGCTTTGTTTAAGAGAATATCTATTTTTAAGCAATAAGTAGCTAAAGTTTTAATTGCACTTTGCATCTTTTTTTCCCACTGCTTGTGTAACTTGAGTGTCTGGTGTACTGTTTTTTTTGTATTCATTGTCTTTTGAGGATTATACTGTATTGAGGACTATAGGAGTGTTAAATGTGTCATTTATGTTTCTTAAAAGGCTACAATATTGTCAGATTATCCACGTAAATCAAGCCAAACTCCAGCCCTTAAAGACTGGCAGTTATCCATTCACCCCACACAAATTACAGAACAATTTACATTTTATAAAGCAATGCATCGTTATCTGAACCTGACACAGTCCCGGTCAGAGGGGGGCGAGGGTTCACAGTAAATGTTGTTGCAGTCAGGACTGGTGATTTACTTGAAAGGTTTGTTGGTAAAATAATGGTTGAAAGACAGGGACTCAGATAATCACTAACAAATGACTGATTGGATTGTATATTTTTGTATAAGAATTGATATATTTTCTTTATACCTTTAAGTGTTGGAAAGATTAAATTATAAAATGTTCCCAGGTTATGTCTTTACATGATTGAACTTATTGACATTTGATCAATATATTTGAAAGACACACAAATAAATCTATTTTTGGACTTGTGAGTCTTGATATTTGTATGACTAAATTGAAAACTATTTCACTTGAGGTGTTCAAATAAACAGTCAATATTTTATTTACAACAAAAAAAATGTCCATTTATAAAGACACTTTAAATATATTTGATCTGACATCAAAAATGCATATGCTAAGAATATTCATTGTGGTAGAATGACAACTTATCGACACATCAAAATGCTGTAACTTAACGAAATAAAAAAATATTTGAAATCTATGGGCCGTATGGTGTAATTCACAAGACAGTCTCCAATAACCCCCAATCAAAATCCAGCATTCATGACAAAACACTAGTCAATGTTAATGTCAGCATACAGACATGATAACATGCATCAATGATATGCAGCGGCAAAATAAACGAATCAGGTTATGTTGAAGTAGGTCTTCTTCTTGTGAACCATCAATACTTTGCTCATAAAATACAGCGAAGGACATTTTTCTGACACGTTGAAATTCATACGGTTACAGATACAGCATTTTACCTTTCATACAACACTGGTCTCAACAAGAGCGGAAGCTCACCAAAAAGAGCAATTACAGCGTCAATATATCAGGAATACATGTTTACAAAACTAGATGTGGTCATAAAATACTAAGGGCATATTTGAAAAAAAAAAGAAAAAAAAAAGGGTAAAATAATGAGATAAAACAAACAGATTCAGTCAGTTTGGAGTTTGAATAGGCGTGGGTGAGACAAAGGTGACTCACTGTCAAAAACACTGACAGATTACTACTGCATATTTTTTTTCTTTAGCTCAAGTGGCAAAACAGTGCAAATCAACAGCTTTACATTCCTTTAGTATTCATACTTCACAACAAAGCATTTGTTTGTGAGAACACTGCTCAAACTAACTCCCAGAAGTTAAAGTGATTCATTATCTAAATATAAAAAAAGTACTTCATAATTCTCCAGGAAGTAACAGGTCACCTCTGTGTTCAACTAAACTGGGGAATGTACAGCACTGAAATTAAATTATGTGCTAAAGCAACGGATATATTTTTGATCTCGAGACTGTAAACTCCTCATGGTAAGCACAGTATCTGATTAAACTTCATATGTAGGTGCACACAGGTAACATTTCACTCATCATTTACAACACAGTACATTCCTTTTAATTTGAACTCGCAGCCCGACGCGCCACTGTTTGACTCCTGTGACGACATTAGACACTGCGCACGTAAGACCACACAGACATAACAAAGTCTTACAACTACAGACTTATTCTTTTGAGTCCGCTGACTCCTCAGCACGTCTCCTTTAAACCAGCTCTACCTTACAAGCAGCAAGTAAGATTTCAGAGTTCCTCATCAGCTAATGTCAAATTGATTAAAATAATCTCTCACGTTTTTGTGATTATGGGTGGAAATGATAAGCAGTTATTTATTTAAGTGCAGGACATTCAGAGGGCTTTGTATTTACTGCAAGCTGGGGCCTAAATGCAGACAAAAAGGAACATATGAGGCACTGGAGATCATTCATACCATAGCAGGCTGTGCTTACAATAATGTGATAAGCATGATCGGCCTTGGCTACCAACTGCAGACTTTTAAAATTTGAACATGCTCAAAAAAGTGCATATTATCCACTGGACGTTTCCCAACAAGCGGAGAACATTTGATTGAGTGAGGGAACAGTGTGTAGGCACGTCATGCTCACTAATGGTGGAATCAAAGCAGTGAAGACATTGTCGTGTTTATCAGTAACTGACGGAGGGATGATGTCGCTCCACAAAGAAGAGTCTGTGAGTGCAGCTAAGTTTGACAGGAGTCCGTTTCGTAGCACAGACAGACACGAGGCTATAAACCGGAGTTGTGCAGGTTCGGGATGGGGTAGAATTTGGAGACTCGACTCTGGGTGGTCGGGTTAAGGCATTCGGATTCGCCGCTCATCTTGAAGAAGACCTCCTGCTCCTGGAGCTTCCGTGTGAACTCCTCCTCTAACGCCTGCAGGGGGCAGCAGATCCAAACAACTTAGTCAGCCGCTTTGAAGATTACTTGACATTCATTCAGTATGACTGCAGAGAGAATTTATAAGAGAGATAAGTTCTGAAGTCAAAGAGTAAATGGATATTAAATATACCTTCTTCCTGGGTCTCAGCTTCTCTCTCCACTCCTTTATCTCTTGGCTGTGCTCCTCATCCAGCTCCTTCAGCTTCTGGGTCTCATGTTCAATCAGTAGGTGGCATTTCTCATTCTGTAAGAAAATGTGGGTTAACACAGCGCCTTCAGGATTAATGAATAAACAACAACATATAACTGAACAGACATGAACTAGAGAATATAGTTAAAAAGAGGTACAAACACCACTAAAACATGGTTTTTTTTTTAGCTGTAACACACAATCATATATAATATTAACATTCTTTCTAACAGTTACTAAAAACCCAGCTCTTTGGGCTGGGTTGAAAAAGGCGTCGACACACACCTTGTTTTAAGTCACTCTGAACTCTTTACACTCTTTGGGGCTACTTTATGTTGTGACATTTATATAAAAAAAGAGTTACCGTGTTACTGCCCTCTAATCAGAGGAGGGCGGCCAACCTCCCCCAGCCTCCGCTTTGAGTCTGTGAAACCGCTGTGCTCATTTTATAATGCGTACTGATTGAGACGCAGCATTCATAG